CTCTATCAGGGGCCTACCCCGACCAACAACAGGAGAGGCCCCAACCCTACTGACCCTTTCTGAACAAAGAAAACAGAGCTCTGTTGCAATAAAACCTAACTTAAGAGGCTGAAATGCCACTGCAGCAGCTGAAATAACCTGAGAGACAACCTCATCAGGAAAGAGGCGAGGTGATAAGAGGGATGCAAATGAAAGGTGTTAAAGACCAGGAAGAATCTAAAGTTTGGGCCTGTACAGCCTGCTGACACAAAATATGGACCAATTAAAAAGCCATCACTGCCTCCCAAAAGAGAAAGGCAAGCAACTTGAATAGAGTCATGAAGCCAGAACCCACATACATCAAGATGGCTACACTTGGGACTGATGCCAGCATATCCAACCATCATGGAACTGATCTGAAAACAGATTCACAACTGCCCAAATGTGCATGACGGCTGTCAAACACTGGAATCTTTTGCAGAAAGGGCTTCAGAGAGCACAGGCAGCTACAAATAAAGTTCCAATCAAGTAATCTGAAAAAGACACAGCTTTTGAAGCTGGTAGGACTACCTACCTGTTGAAGATTCCGAGGATTAGTATCCCCACGGCCCAGTCTCTGACTAGGACTCTGGTTGCTGGTCTGGGGCCAGATTCACGAAGCTGGTACGCAAGCACTTACAAACCTGTACATCTTTTCTCAAACTTTGGTGGCTTTGTTTACAATTATTAAACAGTTAATGAGCTCTAAAGCACCAGGAGGCTGTTTATAACAATAACAACAGTTGATTGGGAAGTTTTCATGCTTGTAAACTGTTTAATAAATGTAACCAAAGCCATTAAAGATTGAGGAAAGATGTACGTGTTCGTAAGTACTTGCGTAACTGCTTCGTGAATCTGGCCCCTGGTCAGCTAGGCTGTTCAATGCGACTGCTCGCAGCCTGACATACGAGTCACAGCTTTTTTGATCAGGGATCCTTTCAAGGTGCTTGTTGAGTTCTCTTTTGAATACTGTGAGAGGTTGACTAGTTATGCCCCATATGTGTAGGAAAAAGAGTGTAGGGAAAAGTGTTTGGCCTATGATGTTGATCGAATTCTTTCCGAGCATGCCCATTGCACCTCTGTTTTTCAGTGGGGTTATTTTGCACATCCTGCCTTGCCTTCTAGTCTCATGTTGTGTTATTTTTGTGTGTATATTTAGAACCAGTCCTTCTAATATTTTCCAAGTGTAAATTATTATGTAGAGTATCTCTCCTGCCTGCATTCTATGGAATACAGATTTAAAATGTTTAGGGGTTCCCAGTAATTTAGATGTTTTATTAAGTGGATTCTAGCAGTAAAGGATCTTAGCATGTTCTCCAGGTCAGCAATTTCTCCAGCTTTGAATGGGGCTGTTAGTGTGCAACAATATTCCACTCTAAAGAGTACTAATGCCTTATAAAGTATCATCACTGACATCTCTTGTTTGGAAGGTTTTGTTATCCAACCTGTCATTTTTCTTGCCATTGTGACAACTACTTTGTTGAAGTCTTTAAAAGTAAGGTCTTCTGACTTCTAAAATTTAACAGAGTTTTGGGATTTATGACTTTGGTGGGTAGGCAGTTTGATGGGTTTATAACCCTGTGGGTGAAAAAGCATCTTCAAAGAAATTTTGTTATATTGTTACTAACAATTAATTGCCATTAAGACAAACACACATACTATTGCTGGTTTCTATTTGTTATTGTACAATGCACTAACTAATTTACTTAGAATTTAAGTAATAAATTTATTACCCATTCTAAGTCCAAGTTTCACTTGACCCAGAAATTAAACTTTCATGGCAACTCATCTTCAGGCCAGGCTCGTTAAAGTTATGGCTGTCACCCCAAGATGTATTGAGCAATTTTAATGTATAGTGTATTAAAGATAGTAGGACCTCTTCTTAAGACCTCTCTTATTTCTTATACTGTATACTGTACATCACTGATTTGCTGAATGTCTAATATTTTTAAAGCTTTACTATTTGCTGCCAATACTACTTTCATCTATTCAGATCTCAACTCACACATACTAAATAATATTGTAAATAAGGAATTTAAAAGTCAATTCTTGGATGTCAACCAACAACTCACACTGTACATAGAATAGACCTACTACATTTTATTTTGAAGTAAACCCATCAAACCAAATTCACCTTCAGATAGACAATGTTAACATTAGCATTAAAAATTATGGAAAGCTCCTTGGTCTATACATAGACAAGAGACTAAAATTAAGCACCCACTTACAACACACCCAAAAAAAAGTCTCACAAAATGTTGGTATGCTCTCTAAAATAAGATGTTCCTCATTTTACGCTTCTTTCACTATACTACTCGCTAATACAGTACAGTATATTGTATCTGTGCATGGTGTTCAAAAACTCCAAATTACCTCAAGCCCATCATCAACCAGTAAAAATCTGTAATCAGAAATATAACAAACTCTGTCCTCAGAAAACACAGCCCCATTGTTTAAATCCCTAAACATGCTGAACATACACACTCTTGTGCTATTTACATGTACAAAACATTGTCTCTAAATGCTAATCCTGATCTGAAACTTTTTTGATAGGTGTAATAGAACTCATGAGCACCACACCAGCAATAAATCTCTCTCTGATATTCTTAGTCAGACTAAATGTGTGCAAATACTCCATGCAAATAAAAGTACCCTGTCTATGAATTTCCTCGCTATTGAATTAAAAAAATCCAACCTATGCCTTATTAAAAATAAAACCAAAAAGTACAGTACCTAATTTCATTCTCGTAGTTTCCAACCATGTGCTCCAAACTCACATTGTATCTTGTGCTACCCACTCACCCAATTTTAGTACTGTATTTAAGATTTGCAACTTCACCAGTATAATAATTTATATTGTACTTATTGTGTTGATCTCAAATTTCCTTACATTGTACCAGCTGTTAATACTTTTACTTTTATTAGATTAGGGACCTGCCTAAAATGTTGTGTGTTAGTGACTCTGCAAGAATGTAAAGCTCAAACACCAATGTTATGTACTCTCACAACCCAATGTATGTACTGTACATTCTGGTATATAAATCAATAAATAAGTTTGCTCTCATTTATATATTAATATTAATATTATATTAATTAATATTAATACAACCCAATGTATGTACATTCTTGTATATAAATCAATAAATAAGTTTGCTCTCATTTATATATTAATATTATTATATATTAAAGTTCCATGTATAGTTAGGCATAGGTTCGGTTAGGTGTTTTGGCTCTGTTGGCGATTATTTGTATTTGTAGTGGGGGTGATGCATTTACAGCGTTGTGGTTCGAACAAATTTTGTCAGTGAATTAGCACTAACACTTGTTCCGGAAGTGTTCGAACAACTGTTGTGAGTCGTGTGTAAACCGTTTTTCATTCATAAACAGGGAGTTTGGCAGATGCATGGAATCACTTTTTGTGTCTTTGTTTGGAGGACAGGCTAGTTCGACTAACCCGTCCTTGACTCAAGTCCATTCCATTCAGCGGTCGACCCCACAGATGCATTCATAAATTTTAACATGCTGTTCATTCAAAATGGGAATTTTCTCAAATTTAAATTAATATTATAATATATTAGCATGTTGTGCATATTATAGACATAGGTTAGGTTAGGTTAGGTGTGTAGGTTCTGCTGACGATTATTTGTATTTGGTGATGCATTTACAGCGTTGTGGTCCGAACAAAATTCGTCAGTGAAGCACTTGTTCTGGAAGTGTTCGAACGAAATCAGTTGAGTCGTGTGTAAACCATTTTTCATTCAAAAACAGGGGGTTAGGCAGGGGCATGGAATCACTTTTAGTTTTTTGTTTGGAGGACTGGCCGAGTCAGCAAAGCACTTGTTCGAGAAGTGTTCAGACCTCCAGCCCGTCCTCCAAACAAAGATCCAAAAGTGATTCCGTGCACCCGCCAAACCCCCTGTTTATGAATGAAAAGCAGTTTACACATGACTCACAACTGCTGACGTTCGAACATATGTATGTATGTACCTTACCTAAATAAAATTGTATTGTAATGTATTGTATATCCGGAACAAGTGCTTCACTGACGAATTTTGTTCGAATCACAACGCTATAAAAGCTTCACCCACGTACTACAAATACAAATAATCGCCAACAGAACTTAAACACCTTACCTAACCTATCCTATACCTATATATGCACAATATGCTAATATATTACAATATTAATTTATAGTTGAGAAAATTCCCGTTTTGAATGAACAGCATGTCAAAATTTATGAATGCGTCTGTGGGGTTGACCGCTGAATGTAATGGACTTGAGTCGAGGACGGGTTGAGACCTCAACAGTTGCGAGTTGAGTTGTGTGTAAACCGTTTTTCATACATAAACAAAGGGTATGGTGCATGCATGGAATGGACTTTGGTCTTTGTTTATGAGGGGCTCGCATTTACAGCATTGCAATTCGAACAGTGGTCGTCAGCGAAGCACCGTTCTCTTGATTGAGAAATGATCAGACATCATCAGTTGTGAGTTGAGTGTAGACCGTTTTCATTCATAAACAGGTTTCGCAGCTGGATTAGGGGGCATTTAACCTTTGTTGATGAGGACGGACTGTTTATGGAGGGGCGTGAGTAACTTGCGTTTGAGCAGCCCGGGGGCTATGGTAGAGTTGCTTGTTTGGGGCGGCTGAATATTGGATGATGTGGGATGTCCTGTAAAGTGGAGAAAAGGCTACATACATTTTTGGGGGGATGTAGCATGTTTGGACAATGGACGTTTTCATCTATAAATATAGGAAAAATTAAATAATATATAAAATTCGTATTTTTATGGAACATAGCGAATAACCAGAAGAAGGGTTAGAGGTAACTAACAAATATTGGAGAGAGTAAAGGTAAATTAGCTCTGTCAACGTTTGCAAGCGATCTTTGAGTGATCTCCCTGGAGGTCACTTAACATTTGTTCAGATTTGTCCAGTTAACCTCATAACTGAAGCTGGTAATGTGGAAACAAATTTTACAGGGTGATCCAATCATAGAATTGATTAATGTCATTTATGAATACAACATATGCAGAGAGGAGGAACATGGCGGACAACATAAGCTTTAAAGGGATGGCGGCTTGAGTGGCAGTCTCGCCGCTGGGCCGCCCGACGCCGCCCACACCCTCCCGCCACCCATTTTGGAAGCAGTTTTCCACCCCCAACTTCCGTATTATCACCCTAATAACCTGTTGCCAGGATTGGCAGCACCTTTATACGCTCGGCAGGTGAGGGCAGGCCCAACATACTCCACATATGTGGGCGTAATAAAGGATTGATTAATGTAGGGAGATGAAGCGGCCAGAATAGTGAGCGGCCTAGTGTTGCCTGCAGCTTCTAGGCGGCCTCACTCCGCCTCGTTAACACACAACTACCACTGTTTCCCTCGTAACAAGACGTGAAGCACCAACCACAGCCGCAATGGTGTTTTGCTTCACCAATCCTGCAGTATTGAGAGGATTCTTTTATTGCAAAACAAGGTGTTAAAGCCAAGCTTGATGATGCATGTTTTAAACATTGATTGGATATATATCAGCAAGTGTTTGGGTGTGTATTCGCCTAGGTGTGCTGGCGGGGGTTGAACTCTGCTCTTTCGGCCTGCCTCTCAACTGTCAATCAATCAACTGTTACTAACTGTGGTGTGTGTGTGTGTGTAATTACCTAAGTGTAGTTACAGGATGAGAGCTAAGCTCGTGGTGGCCCGTCTTCCAAGCACTCTTTGTCATATCCAGTTTCCATATCCATAGTCTTACCAGTCTCCGTGGTGCAGTGGTAAGACACTCGCCTGGCGTTCCGTGAGCGCTTTGTTATGGGTTCGTATCCTGGCCGGGGAGGATTTACTGGGCGCAAATCCTTAACTGTAGCCTCTGTTTAACTCGACTGTAAAATGTCTACTTGGTTGTAACAATGATTCTTCGCAGTGGGGATTGTATTCCAGGGACCTGTCCGAAATGCTACGGGTACTAGTGGCTGTACAAGAATGAAGCAACTCTTGTATATATCTAAAAAAAAATATTTAACGCTTTGAAGCTACTGATGGTTTGGCCTCCACCACCTTCTCACTTAACTTGTTCCAACCGTTTACCACTGTTTGCGAAAGTGAATTTCCTTATATTTCTTCGACATCTTTTAGTTAGTTTAAATCTATGACCTCTTGTTCTTGAAGTTCCAGGTCTCTGGAAATCTTCCCTATCGATTTTATCAATTCCTGTTACTATTTTGTACGTAGTGATCATATCACCTCTTTTTCTTCTGTCTTCTAGTTTTGGCATATTTAATGCCTCTAACCTCTCCTCGTAGCTCTTGCCCTTCAGTTCTGGGAGCCACTTAGTAGAATGTCTTTGCACCTTTTCCAATTTGTTGATGTGCCAGGTAGATGCAGTCAACCCAACCATCTCGTTCCTGTAAAATCTCTAAGGCTCAATCATAGAAACTGAGTAAATTCGATACACAGGATCTTTCAGATCGAAAACCATACTGTCTGTCTGATATTATATCATTTCTCTCCAGGTGTTCTACCCATTTAGTTTTTAGTTTTTTCAAATAATTTTACTATTACACATGTCAATGATATGGTCTATAATTGAGGAGGTCTTCCTTGCTGCCACTTTTGTAGATTGGAACTATGTTAGCCTTTTTCCACACATCTGCTATGACTCATGTACACAGGGATGCCTGAAAGATCAGGTGAAGTGAATGTTAAGTTCAGGTGCACATTCTCTTAGAAACCATGGTGAAACTTCATCTGGGCAAACTATTTTGTTTTTACTTAGCTCCTCTAGCATATTTTCCATTTCATCTCTTAGACACCTCTATATGCTCTATGTTGTTCTCTGGAATTCTTATTGTGTCTGGTTCTCTGAAGATTTCATTTTGTTCAAACACACTTTGGAACTTTTCGTTTAACGTTTCACACATTTCCTTTTCATTTTCTGTGAATCTGTTTCCCATATTCAACCTCTGGATATTATCCTTTACCTGCAATTTGTTGTTTATGAATTTGTAGAATAGGCCCGGTTCTGTTTTACATTTATCTGCTATCCCTTTTTCAAAATTTCTTATTGCCTCGCTCTTTACTCCGGTATAGTTGTTTCTCGCATCTTTGTATCACTGGTATGTTTGGGGGGTTTAGCCTCTTCCTATATTGATTCCATTTTTGTGTCTTTTGGTCTCTGGTCCTCTTGCAATTTCTGTTGAACCATTCCTGTTTCCTGTTTTCTGGCCCTGCATCTCTGTTTTGGTATGAATGTTTGTGTGCCTTCATCGTATGTTTTGCAAAATTTGGCATACATTTCATTTACTTCCCTGCCTAGCAGCAAGTCTGTCCAATTACACTTATTAAAAAGTTTTCAAAGTTCCCTATAGTGACCTCTCTTGAAATTGAGTTTATCAACTGTTTCAATGTCCCCATTTACTTCTAGATGATATCTTAAAGCATATTTAATGTCTAACAGGACGTGATCACTTTCCCAAGGGAGGAAGGTACTGGATGTCAAATACCTCCTTCTTTCCTGGTGAATAGTAGATCCAATACTGACGGTACATCTCCTTCCCTCATTCTTGTGGCCTCCTTGATGTGTTGATACAAGAATGTCTCCAGAATGCGGTCCACAAATCTGCATGTCCAAAAGTCTTCCGTTCTTGCCTCATAGGCCTCCCAGTCTATTGCTTTAAAGTTGAAGTCTCCCAGTATTAAAAGTCATGATTTATCTTTATCTGCTTGTACAATAATATCTCTCATGACCATTATGAGGCCCTCTCGTTTGTCATCCAGTTCTTCCTTTGTCCATGTGTTGCTTGCTGATGGGTTGTAGACATTTAATATTATCAGCTTATCCTGATTCCAGACCTGCAATGCCATTATGTCAATATCTCGAGGGTTTTCAAATATTAACTCTCTTGCCTTCAGTGTTCTTTCACCAGCACAGCCACTCCTCCCTTCATAGTTTTCCTGTCACGTCTCCAAACCGAATACCCCCTTGGGAATATGACTTCATTTAATATATCTCCAAGTTTTGTGTGTGATAATGCGACAATATCTGGGACTTTAAGCTGTGTGTGGGAGGTTGTCTGGTGTGTGTGTGTGTGTGTGGGAGGTCATCTGTGAACACATCATCACAAGATAATTTACGAGTGTATTGTAGCAGGGACAGTAACATCAGATATTGGCGAAGATAAATCCCAAGCCACCAGGATAATTATTATTAAATTTATTTGTATTTTAAGGCACATTTTATTAGAGTTCCTACAAAAAAAAATTTAACAGTGCAAATAATTCATTGTGCAGTGAGCAGTAATCATAGTGCAAAACAGAGTGCTCTCCTCTTAGCTTCCCTTTCATTTTGTTTTGGGTTAATGCACTGTATTCAGGCTTTGTTAGGCTAAGTTAAATTATGGTAGGCATTTCAAAGTTTTATTTATATTGGCCTATACAGTACTGTATTTTATGTCGACAATATTGTTTGCATTTTGAGATTTATCTGGTATAGGAGACCACGATTACTGCAGTCCAGTATCAGTAGTAGTTAAATTTATGTAGTCAATTAAAGTTTATGTAAATTTTATTTTGCAAATTTCTTACTTTCAGTGGTGAAGTCACGTGATTGGCCAAGATGGCAGAAGGAATGCTTTCTTTATCTTGGAACAATCATAGTTCAACTTTCTGCCAAATGCTATCTGCATTACGAGAAGTGGTGAGTTGCTTTTTTTGTTGTCTGTCCCCGTGTAGATACACAAATACTTATAACGTTTTAATGTGTGTATGTGTGCTATATTCAATTGATAATAGTTCTGTATTGTATGGAGTAAGATAATTAGAATCCAGCTTCTAACACCTCTAAAACCTCTACTACAACTTCCAGTGGATAGAATGACATCACATAATTACCAGAAACTTTACATACATACATACATACATACATATATATATATGCGAACAAGCCTGAATGGTCCCCAGGACAATATGCAACTGAAATATATATATATATATATATTATTAAATATGACCGAAAAAGTAAGATTAATAATTCTAACACGAATTTTCTCAATCTTTCGTACATTACGCTTCACTGTTGGAGGTAAATAAAAAATCACTTCTCCAAAATTCATTTTTATTTCTAGTCTGACGCGACACGGGCGCGTTTCGTAAAACTTATTACATTTTCAAAGACTTCACAAATACACAACTGATTAGAACTTGCGTTTCCCTGATTTTATATCTACATTTGAGTGAGGTGGGAAGGGTGATGTGGCATTACATTTGAGTGAGGTGGGAAGGGTGATGTGGCATTAACACAAGACAGAACACTAGGGGATATTAATAGGGTATTAAAAGTATCAACACAAGACAGAACAGAAACAATGGGTATTGAATAGAAGTATATATATTGAATTGAATATATATATATATATATATATATATTTTTTTTTTTTTTCCAATAACATTAAAACTAGAAGGGTGTCTAAAGGGAAATAGTTGGAGTAAAAATTAAAATGTTCTATTTTAACTGTATGGGTGCTTGTTGCAAATATGATAAGAACATTTTTTTCTGGGCTAGCCCCTTCAGGAGATCCCCTGAGCTTAGGTACTAACACTATAGAAGCTTCCAACACTTACCAAGCCCCTGAGACTTGCATAGACTTACTGAGAACCAGGACTAGAATCTAGCCCTCATTAACAGAGGATGAGAGGATCATGTGGTTAAAAGATTGACCCAACACTGAGAAATCCACACAAAGTCACAGGTGAAACAAAATAAACCACTTATCTTAAGAAATTAATGAAATTAAGAAACATGGCAAATGATGGTAACTAGTGAACAACCCTGGCTGTAACTAATAAATGTATCTTGCAACAACTCACTCAACCACCACCAAATAGCCCAGTTCACCCCAGGATATTGGCCCATTACCCACTCCAGTCACTGACCTTATATCATCCAGCCTGTACCTTCCCTGCCAAGGCCAGTGATCTGCTGTGCTCAGCTAATTAGTGTTTGATTTTCCTTCAAAGGTATTGTCCTGCTTGGGACCAAACAGGTAGGTAGTGATTGGGACTAGAATGCCAAAGCGAGAATGCCAAAGCGAAGTTATCTTCTCGGGAGTGTTTGAAAGTTGCATCCATAGAGGTCCTCCTTGTCCAGGGTGAGTAGGAGTCTTGTGGCTTTCCTGTCTTAACCTTAGTCAGATTGGACTTTGGCTGGCAGAGCATAATGGTGGTTCACAGGTTTGCCTCGAGCGCACCGAGGTTGGCCTTTACTGCTTTCTAACCCCAGGCTGTTTTGGATTTACTTTTAGATCTGGTGTAGCATCCTCAGTGCTTGGGTGTCCTGCTTGGTTTACCCTTAAGGCCCTGAAAATCCCCTGTGGGTTCCATGGTTCTATAGATATTTCCCCCTGAACTTGCTCTCGCTTCGTGCAAGTTTGAGGGTGGCTCGTCTTCCATGCCATGTCGCAACGTTCATTCCTTCTGTGTCTGCCATGCTGCCTATTGGGTTGGTGACACCTTCAAATCTGAGTCCTGGGAGGTTTGCTCTTCCCATGTGACTTCTTTCAGACCCTCTAGATGAGGTTAGGGCTTGAGGTTGAAATGGTGATGTTAGAAAAATATATATACAATAAAGAATGGAAATGTCACTGATGTAAGATTATGTGCTAGAGTCAGTAAATCACAAGACAGGAGAGTGCATTGAGGTATTTTGGTCACATTGAAAAATTAAAATACATTGGTTAAGAATGTATTTGGGCAGGTTTGAAGGTAGGATGAGAAGAGGATGACCAGGAAGAAGAGTGATTATGTGATGAAGCAGGATTGAATGTGAACATTGTATTGGATATGGTATACTATTAGGCAGAGTGTAAACAGGTTTTAAGGCTGGAGCAAAGTGAATTTGTACCATTTTATGATAACTCGCATGGTGCATTGTTCACTTCATCTCATGAAGGTGTGGGATGCTACTGGGGATCAGTTGCTGGATTGTGGTGCTTATCTTAGTGATACTATATAGTGTGTGTGATGTGGTGAATGGATGATTGTATCTGTAATATGTGTTAATTTGTCACTTATTTTCTTCATGCCAGTGCCTCATGCCTCCCACCTCATGAAATTTGGATATGGGGTACTGGTGGGCGTGAGAGTAAACTGCTATAAGTGAATATGGACAATAGTAAAGTAGTGATGGAAGTGATACTGTATAAGTAAATTGTGTAAGATTGGGATGAATTGTTTAGTGCCTGAAGCTATTAATTCGTTAAATTTTTGGTGTGTGTGATTAACAAAAGGGGAACTTATGCAAGTTAAACTAGGGAATGAAAGTGGCTGACATAATCAAAGCCATGTAGGATGAAAAAAGAAAAGATTATGTCAAGATATTATTTCTTGTTGATTGAATGAATGATAGTTTTAAATGTGTTTTGAGTGAATTTAAAAATAGCAGAGGAAGGCTTAGAGAATGGGACATTTATGACAAGTGTGTGAGGAAGATTGGATGAAATGGAAACAGCACAGAAAAAATGGCATTGAACAAGGCTGAGTAGTTGCAGTTTATTAAAAGGGTATGAATGTTTGACTTTTCTGTGGGGAGCCCCTCTGGCTCCTTGGAGCTATTTGATTGATATGCGATATATTAGTTTAGGGCATCAGTCAATTAGAGTTCAGCCTACTGGGGACCACGAGCCAGAACCTGGGTCCCCCTCAGAGAGGCAAAGAGAACAATGGCCTATGGGGGCATTTTCCCCGTGTAATTAGGGGTATGTATTCCATGTCTGCCATCGACCGGGGTCAACACCCGGGAATGAAGGGTGCTAACTTTGTTATGGATGGATTGTCACCCACCCATAGCAAAACATGGGGACTGAGCCGGAGAGGCTCCCCAAAGAAAACCAGCGTTGAATGTAACGAAACACCATTTTCTGGGCGAGTCGTGAATGCTCCTCCCTGGAGGAAAACCTTCCTCCCTCCGGTCGGCGGTTTTCTTGTTGTTTTGATGCTCAGCCTCCGAAGTGGAGGAGTGAGTAGCCGGTAAGGGGGGTCCGGGGCTTCCTCCTTCACCTCCCGGGGAGAGGAGGGCTGCGCAGACAAGCGGTGCGTCGGCGGTGTATGACGTTTGCTTGTTCCTTTAGGTTGGGGGAGTTCAGACATATGTGGTCTGTTTTATTTTGCTTACCTTTCTAGGTGCTAACCCAGGGCGATGGCAGACATAGAATGTCCCCAAGTACATGGGGGTTTCCATAGGCCATTGCGTCCTTTGCTTCTCTGAGGGGACCAGGTTCTGGCTTGTGGTCGCCGGTAGGCTGAACTCCAATTGACTGATGTCCCAGAATAATATATCACATATCAGTCGGATAGCTCCAGGGAGCCTCCGGGGCTCACCCAGAAAATGGCGTTTCATTATATTCAATGCTTTTTTTTTTTTTAACCTAGTGTGTGAAGTAGGGGGAAATTTTGTTTTAGATGATAGTTGGAACATGGTGGTGCAGGATTTCTGTGAAGGTGTCAAGTATGGAAGATGTTTTATGTGGTTAATGTTATGGCATTTTTATTTATTTTTGACCTTCACTATACAGTATTGCTCTCCTGTATTTTATGGGTAAATCCCATCCCTCCTCTTCACATAGTAAAAATGGAATAATAATAATGACAAAATAATTTCAAGGTTGGTTATAATGTTCATGTTAATTTTACTTGACTTAATAATAAGCCTGTTTATCCAGTTACGCAATACGCTAATGACGAAGCATGTTGCATAACATTTCCATACATATTTTACTAAAATATATCTTAGACATTCTGTTATTAGGGCTCCATCAGTAGGACTTATTAAACATTTAGGGGATATGATTTACAGTTAAAAGAAGGAGAAATATTTTTTCTATCATATTTATTTATTTTTTTTTTTTTTTAGGAGAGATACACAGATGTGACTGTAGCATGTGAGGGAAAATTCTACCCAGTACACAAGCTGGTGCTCTCAACCTGTAGTGATTACTTCTTGAAAATGTTTGAATGTACTCCATGCAAGCATCCCATCATTGTCCTGAAAGATGTCAAATGTAAAGATATGGAAGCTCTCTTAAGCTACATGTATGCTGGCATAGTTAGTGTGGCTCAGTCTGATCTAGCTCAGCTGATTAAAGCTGCAGAACTTCTGCAAATTAAGGGGCTAGCTGTTCCTGATGAAGTTGCATTTAGCAACAGAAAAGTGCGAAGCATGACAGATAGTAGTAATAGTCCGCATCCAAAGCGACATAAACGACATGACTATTGTAAGGAAGAATCACAAAGTATTGAGGTAACATCTCCATTTTCTCCGGATTATGGAGATGGTGACCAGCAAGACAGGACAGATGCTTCAGTTGAGTCAGAGACAGTAAATCAAAATTCATTCCAAGAAGAAGAACATACTCTTGAAAATATAGAAATTTGCCAAGTTCGCTCAAATAAGGACAATACGTCTGTTAGTCCAGCAGAAAATCGAGGGGAAAATAAAACCTCTTCACAAGTGTGTCCCACATCAAATGATGAGGTATGTATTGATAATTCCTATAGTTTCCATGTTCAAAATTGATTTCAGCGCAGTTATTTTTTTTCAATTAAATTTGTCTATGGTTGTATGCCTTGCTAATTGGAGGCTTAAAACACAATAAAAAATATTTCTTATCTATTTCATTGGATTATATGCTTTAGAGAAACAGCAACTTGAGAATAGTTAAATATGCATATCAGAACATGGCAACCAAGTAATGTTTTAGCTCCTGTTTTAGGTAGTCATGCATGCATATAGTTTAAATCTCATGTCATCATGACTATCTTCATTACCTCATTTATTACATTTATGGAGTGGGGAGTCACCTGGAAAGATAAAAATTGTTGGAAAAGAGGGGTACAAATATTAGAAACAATAGAGCAAATATCTAATACAGTACTGTAGAATGTAAGTCCTATTAACACTTTCATAATCTTGTGATGCTGTATTGCATTGTCTGCAAGTTTTGCTTCCTGATTCAATGATGCAGCATTTCATCGTCTGATCCAAAAATAAAAATTTTTATAACGATTATTTCTGTGCCACAGTGACAGAGAACACCCAGCTTTTGCTATTCACGTTTTCTTCTGAGTTTGCTCTTCTACTCTCCAGAGCTGCTAGAAAGTCGAAGTCACAAAACAACCCTCGTCTCTATAAAAACAGATTGGGTGGGTCAAACAACCCAAATGATCATTAGTACAGATAAATTGCTCTTGTCAGTGTGAGATGTGCTCTTTGCAAGGGTACTCACCTACTCACCTAGTTGTACTCACCTAGTTGTGTTTGCGGGGGTTGAGCTCTGGCTCTTTGGTCCTGCCTCTCAACCGTCAATCAACAGGTGTACAGATTCCTGAGCCTATCGGGCTCTGTCATATCTACACTTGAAACTGTGTATGGAGTCAGCCTCCACCACATCACCCCCTAATGCATTCCATTTGTCAACCACTCTGACACTAAAAAAGTTCTTTCTAATATCTCTGTGGCTCATTTGGGCACTCAGTTTCCACCTGTGTCCCCTTGTGCGTGTTCGCCTTGTGTTAAATAGACTGTCTTTATCTACCCTATCAATTCCCTTCAGAATCTTAAATGTGGTGATCATGTCCCCCCTAACTCTTCTGTCTTCCAGCGAAGTGAGGTTTAATTCCCGTAGTCTCTCCTCGTAGCTCATACCTCTCAGCTCGGGTACTAGTCTGGTGGCAAACCTTTGAACCTTTTCCAGTTTAGTCTTATCCTTGACTAGATATGGACTCCATGCTGGGGCTGCATACTCCAGGATTGGCCTGACATATGTAGTATACAAAGTTCTGAATGATTCTTTACACAAATTTCTGAATGCCGTTCGTATGTTGGCCAGCCTGGCATATGCCGCTGATGTTATCCGCTTGATATGTGCTGCAGGAGACAGGTCTGGCGTGATATCAACCCCCAAGTCTTTTTCCTTCTCTGACTCCTGAAGAATTTCCTCTCCCAGATGATACCTTGTATCTGGCCTCCTGCTCCCTACACCTATCTTCATTACATTACATTTGGTTGTGTTAAACTCTAACAACCATTTGTTCGACCATTCCTTCAGCTTGTCTAGGTCTTCTTGAAGCCTCAAACAGTCCTCTTCTGTTTTAATCCTTCTCATAATTTTAGCATCGTCCGCAAACATTGAGAGAAATGAATCGATACCCTCCGGGAGATCATTTACATATATCAGAAACAAGATAGGACCGAGTACAGAGCCCTATGGGACTCCACTGGTGACTTCACGCCAATCGGAGGTCTAACCCCTCACCGTAACTCTCTGCTTCCTATTGCTTAGATACTCCCTTATCCACTGGAGCACCTTACCAGCTACACCTGCCTGTCTCTCCAGCTTATGTACCAGCGTCTTATGCGGTACTGTGTCAAAGGCTTTCCGACAATCCAAGAAAATGCAGTCCGCCCAGCCCTCTTTTTCTTGCTTAATCTGTGTCACCTGATCGTAGAATTCTATAAAGCCTGTAAGGCAAGATTTACCCTCCCTGAATCCATGTGAACATGTTTCCGTGTTATCTAAAGCCTCGTAGTAGACTTGGTAGTTGCAGCAGGGGTTGCTATGTTCCACATGCAAGGTCTTGCATTCGTCGATATTAAAAAGCACTTGCCAGTCTTCTGACCATTTGTGGAGGTTGGTCAGCATACAGCACAATAAATGAGCACTGAACGGTGATGTTAAAATTGGTATGAATGCACAGTAATTCTCTGTTTTTGGGTCATATGCCTTGTGTGTTTCTTGGTGGTTTTAACATATACTGTACATTTATAAACGGGTTTGTTTAAATTTAGGTTTCTATTTTTGTATTCCTGTCAGGCAATGCTGGATGAAACTATGGTTAAAGAAGAAATGGTGGATGAAGAAAATTGTATTGGAGTGACAACCACAGAGTTTGACTATAGCACTCTTGGGTCAGATGTGGGTGATGATAATGAAGCAGAAGATGATTATTCAAATTTAGCTGTACATTCTAAATATGAGCAGCCATGTCACAATCAATCTTTTCTCCAACGTCAGTTCCAGCCGTCTGAAGCAAGTTCAGAAATTCAACCAGGACCTTTACTACTGCAAGGGGTGTGTATTTAGAATACTGTACTGAAATCTTTTGTAAAGTACACATGCATTTCCTTCGTAAAGTTTACCATGTGCTCATTACATTGTCCCAAAATATGGACATTAGTAGTCGTCAATTTTACCACTGTTCAAATGCCTTCTAATGGTGGCTCTTTGGTTCTTGCTGCCTGGTAGGTTCCACCCAATTTAATCCATGTCAGGTCCTTGTAAGACACACACACACACATGCCTACCAGGAACTAGAGGCCAAAACTTAGCCCTCCTCTAAAGAGGAGCAATGAGCAGGGGATTGTAGGTCACCCTAACCAAGAAAAAGCCACCAGAAAGGAGTGCTAGTTAAAACAGACTACAGCAAGGTAAACAAACCATAGAAAATAGGATAGTGAAGTGTCGAGATTCACAAAACACTCGGTGGTGAAACATTTCTCATTTTAGTTATACAGTACCTACATACCACAAAGTATCTTCCTCCTCGAGCCAACAATCTTAAACCCTGTTGTATTGCATGGCACTTACATTAAACATGTTCACCGTCATGTTCCTCTTCCTACCCCAGGAACAGGTAGAGCCGTAGGGCCTTGATTTTTTAGATAAGTGCTGGTTATTCATGACTTTACTCATCTAATTGTGTTTTCAGGGGATGAACTTTGGCTCTTTGATCATGCCTTGCAATATATATAGTATAATATGTATGTATGACCGCATAGTCTGTATTTACTATCTTCTGGTTTAGGGCTACTATTCCTCTAACTATTATTCTTGCATCAGGGTTTAGTTGAAAGAGGAGTTCTCCAAAAGTCATGTTTGTTTTTCAAGGTGAAGATTAAAGTGAATTACTTTAGAATGTATTACACTTATTATACAATTGCACAACGTTTCGAACCTACATGGTTCATTCTCAAGTGATAAGAAATTACAGATCCCGTTAGATTTATACAAGTATGGGGGCAGGTGAGAAAACCAGTAGAATAAAGGAAAAGGCAAGGGGATAATAGGGGACGAAGCACATACAAAGATTAATCTGGTGTAATAGGCCAATTATGTTGAGCAGTGTCTTCTGTGTTGGTATCGTTGTGTTCCGGTCTTGCTCTTACTCTCATGGTGGGTAAAGTAAATAGTTCTGTGATATGGGTATTCATGGTAGGTTGTTCTATTTTTATGTGGATTGCTTCAAGAATTTGTAATCTTCTTACATCTTGGGTTTTGTCCATTATGCAAGTGTTTTTATTCAGCATTTCTCTTGTTAGGGTGATGTCATTGGCTGGTCTCATGTGATTCCTAGGGGCACTGGATTGAAGATGACGGGTCAAACGCCTCGTCAGCTTGGTCGATGTCATACCTATGTACTGTACTTAGATTGAAGGTTACATCCTTCATGGGGGCAAGTATACATGTATACAACGCTTGACTGCTGTAAAGGGTTCTCCGTCGGCTTCAGGCTGTTTTTAATAAGGAGGTCGGTAGTCTTCTTTGTTTTATAGAATATGATAAGGTCTATGTTTTGGTTAGGAATAGTGCTTTTTACTCCTTTATGAATTATTTCCTTCATTATTCTTTCTTCTTTTTTATGTTCACTGTGCATAGTTGATTTTTAATATAATTTTATTGGAGGTATTGTGGTTTCTGTTCTAGGTTCAGGATTGTACCATCGGTCCAGGTGTCTTCTTATAGTAGTGTTTATTTCCGTGTTGTCATATCCATTGTTTACCAATACCCGAGTTATTCTTTCAAACTTTCTACTTACATTGCTCCATTCGGAGCAGTGTGTAAGCGCTCGACGAATATAAGCATTGAGAACACTGGTTTTGTATCTTTGGAAGCACTCACTCTTACCGTTCAGGCATAATCCTATGTTGGTAGGTTTTGTATAAACCAGAAGATAGTAAATATAGAATATGCAGTCATATTCAATGAGACATGTTTAAAAGAAAATCTGCTGCCAGTATATACCAAAATATAAATAAGTAAATATATATATATATATATATAATATATATATATATATATATATATATATATATATATATATATATATATATATATATATATATATATATATATATATATATATATATATATATATTATTTATTTATTTATTTATTTATTTATTTTGCTTATCTGTTTCAGTGGCAGAACTTGAGTGAAGTTGGTGAAGGTACAGCAGGCCAGGGGTTCAGCAGTGATGTAAACCAAGAGGCATCTCTTACTGGCCACATGGACTCTCAGCCTCTCTACCCCTTGGTGAGTGTTCTTTCCATGTTTGTTGCACATGTCGGATTGACATTGTTTCTTTGTCAGTTTCTAGTAAAAGGTAAGTTTTCTTCATTGTAGTTTGTATTGATGTGATTTCTTGAATATTGGAACATCAGGAAAGTTAATGTTATATATTTATACAATTTTGGTTATATATATATATATATATATATATATATATATATATATATATATATATATATATATGTATATGTATATTATATATATATATATATGTATATGTATATAAATAAATAATATTATAAAATATAGTTAATGGTTAAATCTGACCACTCTGGAACATCTTCAGGTAAAGAATGAATGCGTAAGGTGCAATTTTGGGTTAAATGCACATGTGGAAAGGGGGGATATTGTTTGGGGTGAGGTGAAAAGTTAAAAGAATAAAGGGGCCAGACATAGGGTAAGGAATAAGGGAAAAGGGCCAATCAAAGATTGGGTAAGGTGTTGTGTGATACTCTGGTACTCTCAGTGGGGCGGGGAGAACTCGGTAGAGTTGTCATCTTTATCCAATGATTCTTGGTGAGATCAGGATCTGAGTTTTGGCTGGTAGTGAACTCATTGTTCTGTATATTTAAGTGTCTTTTTTTTTCTTATGAGTATAGCTTCCTGGATTGTCGTATTATCTACTAGTATGTTCCTAGTGAATGTTGCGCTATGTACACTTTGCATATGGTTTCTATGGGCACCAGATTATAGATGGTTGGTCAGTCTTCTCAAAATCTTATTGTTGGTCATACCAATATAAGTAGATCGAAGGTGACATTCTTCATTGGGGCATGTAAATTGGTATTCCATGTTTGTTTTTTCGAAAAGGTTGTATTGTTTATGTTGTTTCTGTTTTGATATAGTTTTTTCCATAGCTTAGTAACTGGAACGTATCCTCACTAAGTATCAAATTATTTTCTATTGCTAGTTGCTCTCAGGCCCTACCAATTTTCCTGTTGGTATCTGATTTCGGTCATAATGGATCAGCTCGTTGAACCCAGGCACACTATTTGTAAGCTTAATGGGTGCTCATTGTCCATGCTACTGGACATTGATAATTCTTTCTATCTCTACCATTCAGCCTGTTAGGTCAGTGATATCTACAACCCCGAGTCCTGTCATGTATTCTTTTACTGTGCCTCAGTTCATACTGAATCATTTTCAAGTTCAGAAACTTACCAGGCAGCAGCTGCTTTATGGGGTTGGTTTGCTTGTGTTCAGCATTCACAGCCTTGTGCTCATTTGGATGCCCTGGAGTTGGCCCTCCATTGTGCTTAGGAACCCAGAATTTGAGGTGTTGGTGGCCTCCACTTAGTGTAAGACCGCACCACCTCTTCCTTTCCCTACAGGTGTAGTTTGCCTTTCATCTGGTCTTAGTCCCCTGGGTCTGGCTTTGAAGTGTGTTAAGGTAATGGGGTCAAAGTAGGGTTTAACTTGGGGTGTAGCTTTGTCTTCTTGGGGGGAGGGGCGATCCACTTCAATGCCATAGGTAATTGAGCCATCTACTCCCGCTGGGGTTTTGAAGTTTTTGCCACTTTCACTTTTGCCACATTAAACCACTTCCCTCACTCCAAACCTTCTTACTAGGCTATCTTTCTATCTCGGGCATTGGGCAAGAACTATGGCTCTGTCCCAGAATCTCCATGACAAGCTTCTGGGACTGTGGAGATGGGGAAGGGGGAAGTTAAGGAGGGCCCTTGGGTGCCCTTCATCCCTTCTTGGACCTTGGTTCCTTTTAGGGAAATATTTATCCTATCCCCCCTTCTATGTGTGAGTAGGATTGCACAATAGCTCTCCCTTGGATTCAATTCCATTTGGCATTCGGCGCCTCAGAACCGGCCTATTTCTGGGAGTTTCTGTCTTCTTGCATTTTGCCATCGGTGGCTTGTACAGATTTGTTTTGATACCTCCTGCAGAGTTCGAACCTCATTTTGTTGATGGACTTGGCATCTTTCTAGTAATTACCTTAGTGTAGTAGGTACATGATGTAACTACAGGATGAAAGCCTGTAAGCCTCTTGGTGTCCTGTCTTCACAGTACTCTTTGTTGCATAACGCTTTGAAACTACTGACGGTTTTGAACTCTACCACCTTCTCACTTAGCTTGTTCCAACTTCCAATCAAAGTTGCTGATTTCAGGAATTCCTCTGTCAATTTGGTCGATTTCTGTTAGTATTTTGTAAGTGGTGATCATATCACCTCATTTTCTTCTATCTTCTCACACTTTTATTTACTGTCTATCTATCTATCTTCTTATCCATTTCTATCTCTCTTTATCCGCTATCACTAGTGGGCACCGTTGATTGAAAGCAAGTGACGTTATATATACTAAGCAATATTTAACGTCGGTCACTTTCAACCAACAGTGCCCACTGGGTAGATGCAATCTCATTTTCCTTACACCCAAATATATTATTATACACTTCTATCCACTGTTCTTTGTATTAATTTACTTTTGGATACCAGTTCTTTTCTCATTACTTGTCTTGTTTGTTCCTCACTGTTTATTTCTGGCCTTGATTTTCTTACACACCTGTTCGATTGACTACTTGTGTATAGGTTCCTTTCATGTCTTCCTTACACTTTTCTAACCCTTAAGTTAGGGTTAACCCTCTATCTGTGTTGTTCCCCAATTTTCTCCTAATATGTCCTTGCCTAATTCAACACAGTGGCTAGCTTGGAGATTTGCTCTTACCTCTATTACATACTACTCCAACTTTTGTTTTTCTTTTTCAAGTTCAATCTATTTCACTTAACAAGTCTGGTTTTCCTTTAATAATTCCGTAATTTGACCCTTCTGTTTCACTAGAGTACTCATCAAACTGGTGACAGTTTTCTTCCCTATGAAAATGCTTTCTTCTGAGAAAGTTATCTTTCTTTTCATGTCTTCATTTTCCTTCAGTAATGTTAGAGTTTTCATTATGCATATTTAAAAAAAAAAATAATCCTCCTGTGTTGTCTGAGGTACAGTTTTGTTCGCCACTACCATTGATATTATGTTTCCATATTCTTCTGTTCATTAACCCTTACATTATTTTTCCTTTCCATTAGTAGTTACTCCCAACACAATGCTGTCTGCATTTATGGTGCTAGGGACCAGGGATGGATTAAGATTTTGTAGGTTCTGGGGTTGGTAATATTTTTAAAAAGAAAACAAAATTAATGAAAATCTTAATTTATTTTTACAATGCTTACAATAATTCAAATTAAAACGTTTGATTTGCGTAATTTCTTGGAAGCAAATATCTTCAAAGCATCAGTAAAGTGTAAGTTATCGAGAAGATTGTTTTCAATTGCCACGAGATCAATTATGTTTAGTAATTCTTGTGCCAGTGTCGATCTGTGAATATTCTTTAGATGATTCATCTTGGATTAGCTCCTATCTTCAGTCGTATTAGTTATTATTAAACAAGTAAATCCATAGTTCTATTTCAACATTAGGGGAAATGAAGTTAATCCATTGTTTACTACAAGGGTGTAGATATCAGATGCTCGTAGTGCATCATGCTTGTGCCTCAATTCATCAAATTGCCCAACAAAGTACTACATAAATTACATTATGTAGTTAATTATATTATTACATAAATATGTGTGTGTGTGTGTGTGATAAGGTTCTTGGTCCTAGACATATCCTATTTTTCCCATAAGATCTTTAGCACAGTGAAGATGGGATACACAAATTCATGTTTCACAAGTCAGTCGTGAAAAATGATTAAAATTTGCTTTCATGCAGCATATTGTTTATGCCATTAGCCATTATGTGTTTCTTCCTGTATACTGTTTTGATGCTTTGTTTAGCACTGCACTATTTTTGTGGGGAGCCCCTTCGGCACCCTGGAGCTATAGGACTGATATGCGCTATATTAGTCTGGGGCTAATCATTGTCAATGATTGACTCCAATGTTAAATGGAGTTCTGCCTACCGGGGACCATGAGCTAGAGCTTGGCCCTCTCAGAGAGGTGCAGGGAGCAATGGCCTAAGGAAACCCCATTGTATTTGGGGGTATTCCCTGTCTGCCATCAACCGGGGTTAGGCACCCAGAAAAGTAGGCATCTTAAAAGAAACCCCACATAGTAGGAAATTGCAAAAAACTCAAGAACAGAGAAATAGAACTCCCCAAAAGAAACAATGAAAATAAGCAAACAAGCAAACATTAACCACCACCGCCACGCCGCTTGTCCAGACCCTGGAAAACCCCATCGGGGCTTGGCAGACCTATGGATGTGTCTTCCGAGTCCCATCTCATCTTGAGCGAGTTTGGAGATTGTGCATTGTCCTTGTCTCAGGGTGACACTCACCTGTTTTGCCTCCATCATGCTGCCTGTTGGGTTGGTGACACTTTCGACCCGGAGTCTTAAGAAACGTGTTCCCAGCTCGTACTCTGACTTACCCGTTCTTCAGAAATTCTTAGGGGGTCAGGCGGCATCTGCATTGCATGGTAGGTTTTGTTGTTGCAATATGCTAGATTGGTTGCTCGCTCGAATTCCCCTGTGCTGCCCCATTTTGGTTTTAGGGACCCGGACCTGGGGGTGTTGGTCGCTTCGACCTTGGCTCCATCCGCACCTTCAGGTCCTTCCCCAGTGGGCATGGTTCGCCTCGCTCTTCCCATTCTGCCAGCTCCGAAACGTCTGAGGGTTTCAGAGTCGGGGCAGGGTTTAGTTGGTAATGAGACTCGGGCGGCTTCCGGGGCTGCCCCATTCGAGATGGAGATGGAGGCATTCAAGCCTGCTCCTCCTTCCAAGACTTCTGGGTCCGACCAGCAGACTACCTCCTTTGCTGCCTTTCCCCAGGACTTTGCCTTTTCTTCAAAGGTGGAGGGCGTGGGGGGATGGCTCTGCCCCGGGGCCTGATGTGGAGGCTCCTGAGGCTGAAGAGGAGTCACCATGGAGGGCATCATGTGTTGTCTGGTGGCAACTCTGTGCTGTTTCCTGTGTGCCTCGGCTTCTGTGGTCGTGGATGCGCTTTGAGTTGATCCGATTTCC